CTTATTAAGTTCTTCGGACAGATCTCAGTTGACGTAATACTATCCGCTCATCGGATTACTCATGCCACTCTTGTTGGTCCATTTGACCACCTCCTATGGCGTCCAATTCAAATCTCATAGGCTTTAAACCAGCCTTGCTAAACATGCAATGTAAGAGCACTCAAACGAAGGAACAAATGGTGATTTGCAATAAGGCGTTTGATACCGATAAAGCATCACAGCTTTCCTGTAGCTTATGCCAAGTGTGCATGCATATACACTTTTTAACTGATCGCATTAAAGCATTGAAAACTTTACAAACTTTTTGGTCACCTAATACTTAGAGTAGACGGTCTCCACCGAAGCCAAACATTTGCAGCAAACGTCTGTTCGCTTCACTCTGACTGCAGCAAAGAGATTATCCTCATCATCATGAGGACATTTACCAACGGAAATGACTAATGCTGTTTCAAGTTGAAGTTACGTAAAAGCCAATGAACTCGTATGAGAATGTGCAAGCATAATGAGACGTGGGAAAGGTGAAACCATACGTTCAAAAGGACAAGTCAAATAAGGTGGAAGGCACTTCTGGAATGCTCGAATCGAATGGTGAGGGAATATAAATGATGCGAGCACTCCAACAACTGACGCAAAAGGGAGCAGAATAGCAAGTAAAATTGTAGAGAAGTTATGGTAGAAACTAATGAAGTGCCGATTTCCATACAAGTGTAACCCATATGCATCAACGTATTTAGCGAAAAAAATAAATGATAATTGGAGCATAATCTAAGGTGAGAATTTAGGGTAGGACAAATCATCACTGCTAGGAAAATAGTAGAGCGCTAAATCGTTACTCGGGAACGCCACGAAGCGTAGCGGTATAGCACCTCCACGATTATGAAATAGCTTGACCAGTCACAGTTTATCCTAGCCTACTTGAAAGTCCTCGACTTTGGTCAAGAAATACAACATAGGAATTTCATCATCCAGACACAGGATAACTGGATGAATCAAATGTCAATGCATGACAGACGGCAGCGATAAGTGTGATGCCTGGTTAAGATTACAGAAGTGATGGGTAGGTAAGTGTGCAGAGGCGGACTCACCCAGTTTGGATGGGCTTGTCATAGTGGATGCCCATAGCAATTTCCCCCACACCTTTGAGGGCGGTCTTCTCGGTGACACTATTGAGGATGAGAGCCTCCTCCTTCAACTTCTTGTCGCGTTCTGTCTCCCGCTTTTCTGCACACAACAGAACGGCAGGAGAAAATTAAGGCCTTAAAACAATGCCTTGCTTACTAAAAAAGTTTATGATGAAGCAATTCAGATAAATTAGAAGAAACTCAATGCCACGGAGTCCTGATTTGACGTTAAAGGTTAAACTGAAACACAATGCAGATGGTAACTTCGTTCCAAAGCAGAAATTCAAGCATTAAAAAGCAAACAATTGGTAAATTGACAAAAGCGGATTAAGTGGTCAAATCTAAGGCCCGTCGAAACTGTACGCTCGTATGGAAAACTGTTCAGTAAAGATTGTCGTTAGCTAACGTCTTTACCGACCACTTTCATGTTTTGATAGGTTTTGCTCTCAATCCATTTGATTGCATTTGGCATGTCAACATAAGGACGGATTCTTCTTAGATAGACCAAACAGTTAGCCACAAATAATTACTTCCCAAATTACTGTGTCATCAAGAACGAGTTTGACATCAAAGCAGACGGAGTGTTTCACATTAAAGTATGTCACGTGTCAACTCTTACCAAATAAAGTTTAACAAGCAGCGCTTCATCACCAGCTAAGCTTGTTCGAATTAGCTTCTGCTACTTGTGGAAACCCTTATGCTTGCATGTTGCACCTATAATTTATGCCCCAAGCGAATTCTCCATCACCGCAAAATAGTGTTACACCGATTCCGTAAAATGGTGAGGTCATGATGAAACTGAAAGATTCACAAAACGATAATGAAGTTGCCTACATCACTCCATCTCTTTTGAAGGCATAATACAGCGTCAACGAACACATTCACCATAAGTCGTACTCTACAAGAAATTATCAACAGTGTTAATCGTTTCTAGCTAAGAAATTCACAGCAAATTTATCAAAACCCAATTCTAGTTCGTTCCGTCAAAAAAAACAATGTTCCTAAACATCGGCAATGATGGAATTAACACCCTTCACAGTATCCACTTAATACGTGAGTCCACGGACAAGGGAAAAGAAAAATTATTTCATCAAAACTTTCCCAACGCAAATGATCGACCTTACTACGTTACGTGCAACTCGAGTAGCAGATTTATGCACACTCGAAACTCACCCTCAGCTTGTTTCTTTAGTTCCCACATAGTGTCAAAAAGGCTCCCCTTGGCCTTAGGACCAGCAGTCTCCTGTCCATCCGCTTCCCCATTGGTTTGTCCCAAGGTGGTGGAGGGCAAAACAGGACCGTCAGGCGTCTTCTTCTCGGCTATATTTTCAGTTACTATCGCAGCCTCTTCATGATCTGACTCTGTGGGTTCTGAGTAGGCCAAATTACCGAGGGCCTGACGTACTGCGTAAAGCTAGAAGTGTATGCATGGAAGTAAACCAGTATCTGTTTCAGTTGCATCACCAAATACGAAGACTTAACATCATGTATATTCATTCATGCCAATCTGACACACCTTTTCCTTGCAAATGACTTGAGATGATAAGCTCGCAAACGGCTATTAGTGCAGCACGTTCTTAGCTAGTTTAGTCGAACCCTACCAAAACGTATAGAAACAAAAAGTATATCCATATAAATGTGACGAAGAAGGAGTGTGGCAGCACTAGAATTCATGAACTAGATGCGTTCAAAAACATCAGAGGCAAATACCCGGATGGCAAGAAGTGAAGACACCAAGCGATCAGATACGCGAGTGCACACGCACGGTCGACCTAGTGGCAAATCACAGTTAAACCAAAGTAGAATGCGACGCACTGGGCAGAGCTAAAGGTTCATGAGCTGTACCCTACGAGATACCAACTACCCTATCCGTTTTTCACCTATATGTCAAATCAAGGTCAGCCAGAATCCAAATAGCAATGCTGGCGAAATTGCTTCTAGTCTAGCTACAAATGCAGTAGACTAGCAAATGTTTGACCGTAGGGTTAACAATACGATTTTGAGGATAAGGTGTTCAAAAAGTCGGGTACTTCATTCATTGAACATGCAGATGGGAAGTCAGAGGTGGGATTCGCTAGATATTTTCATCAAAAGGAAGCGCTTACCTTTTGCTTTCGCCTCTCTTTTAGCGGTACATATGGTACATAATCATCATCCTCCGATAAGGCAGAAACGTCAGAATCATCCTTTGGACGCTTCTATTTAGAGATACACAGAACGTGAGTATTTCTTCGCAAATTAGGATGAAGCTCGATAAACCCCTTAAAAGTTGATATTACCTATGATAATGGATGGCAAAGACACAGTATTGTGCAACGAGAAAACAAGGAATTTACGAGAAGTCAAGACTAGAAATAAAGTTGTAAGGACACAACGTGGCTACCAAACCAAAAGAGTGCTGTAGGTAGATTCAATGAGCAAAAGACATGAATACTATTAATCTTGTGCGATCACAACGAATGCCCTTGTCAAGCTTTAGCAAACACGCCGATCTTGTGGTGTATGAAAGGAGCGTACCATCGACACAAACCCTTCACTTATGACCTTGAAGATGTCCCACTTTTACTAAGCACTAAAATAGCGAAATATCCATGCTACTATTAATTGGTCTGGTATTTTGAGAAAGAACGCCAGCATTTTTCGCTTAATGTGTCATTATACATTCAATAATGTCATTGGATTCAAGAATGTTTGCAAAAGACCTAGCTGTGAGCTTAGTGCTATGCTCCGACCAACCACACAGAACCTAGCTACACCGAGCTAGTTTATTTGTTCTCGTTGATGTTTCGACACAGGCTCGATGTCTACGGAAAAGTTTCCTTTTGATGCGTATGCTCTGGAACTTTGCGTCATCATGTTCCTGTCGCTTGCGGCTTTTTTTATCACCAAATCCTTGTTAAGTTCGTTTGGGCAGGTATTTTTTAGAGCTGGTTTGTGTGGAGCCGACATGAGCAAACCAGGGAAGCCCGTTTTGTATGCGGAAAGATTTGCCTATTTTTTTATGTTTAGACCGGAGGCCCAAGGTGTTGTTGCAGCAACTGTATACATTAACTGCATGTTCCTTTTCATTCCGCTACCTTTTCGTGCTCATATCCTCCAGTCTCTGAGTTGGTATAACCCGAAAAGCACTTTGTTCGTTTTCGTTCAACCATCTCTGTCAGACAGCGATATTATTGCAGAACAGGCTGTTTTGTTTAAGACTCGGGTAATTCTTTTTCTCCGTCCTGATTAACGCTTACAGCTCATCCCATTCCTAGCTGCTCTTCTTTCGATTTGCTGTATGGTTTTCCTCGGGTTCGCAGATGATGTCTTGAGCCTACGCTGGCGGCATAAGCTCATACTCCCGACGCTTTCTAGTCTTCCTCTTCTAATGGTTCATTTGGCGAATCTTGGAACTACACGTATTGCTGTTCCCTTGGTTCTCCAGGGTCTTCTCGGGACCAGCGTTGACATAGGTGTGTTTTGCCCTTTTATACTATGTGTTTGTGTGCATGAGCGTAAACACTAGCGTTAATGTGTGGTTGTTTCTCTCAAAGCTAGGTTTTTTGTACTATATCTATATGGGGATGCTTGCAGTCTTCTGTACAAACGCAATTAATATCTATGCCGGCATCAATGGTCTGGAGGCTGGACAAAGTATCGTCATTGCTCTCTCCGTCATCTGCTTCAACATAGTTGAGCTCAACGGTGAGTTTCTACTTAGCTTTTAGGAGGTGCGTTTAATGCCGTTGCAGCTTGTACTTTGAGTGTTATTTGGAGATTGTTGGGTTCAAAATCCTTGTATAAATTATCGTCAGCTAACTATCTTTTGTACCTCCAGCTTTTTAGCCTTGCTGGTCTTTGGTGTGCTTGCTTTTTTGCTGTGAACTTATTTTTCGAATTAACGCTTCCACTCGCCTTCACTTTGGTGCTCGCGAAGGTCAATTCTGTACCTGACTTCCTCTGTCTTACTGATGTAAACATTTAGCTACTTTTCGCTTCACTCTCCCAAAAATTCAGTTTTGACATACAAATTTCGAATGCTTTATAACTCAAATACCTTCTCGTTGAATTCGAAATCTGCTGGATTCCTTGCAGTTGGTTTTGTTAAGAAGTGTAAGAGGTTTACTTCCATTATTCGGTATATCTTATTTTTAGGCTTAGAGTGGAAGGCCCACTTGTTCTCCCTCTACTTTCTGCTACCATTTGCGGGCGTCACTATGGCTCTTTTGCAGAAAAATTGGTAGTCTCCATTGTTCCTATTAAGCATTTGCTTGTTTATAAATGAAACCTGCTGCACTGTTTCCCTCATATTCCCGCAATCGACTTTTCCTTACTAGTTTGTACTGCAGGCTCTTTTATAACAATGCACTCGGGATGAAGTTTTGCCCACCTGGCGCCAATTTAAATAATCTTATTTTAACAGTACTCCGCCGGAAAGTGTGAAGGAATTTCGGCGATTAAGTAGTTAATTGATTAAAGCTACTTGTTGTCCACTCCCTTCTCAGGTATCCAGCTCAGTTGTTTGTCGGCGACACTTTCTGCTACTTCGCGGGCATGACCTTTGCAGTGGTGTGCATCCTTGGTCACTTCAGCAAGACTCTCATGCTTTTCTTTATTCCGCAAGTGTTCAACTTCATCCTTAGCCTACCGCAGCTCTTTCAACTGATTCCCTGCCCGAGACACCGCCTCCCTAGGTACATCTCATTCATTCCCTTTAACCTTTGGAATTACAAGTTATTTAAGGGAATTTCCTTCCATTTCATGGGTAAACAATTGAGTGTGGTCCTGACCTTATCGAGTTTTTACGTCGTTTGACCTCAACACTGGATACATTTTTTATAAATGTAAATGGAAGAATCACTTCTGTCTAATGGATGTAAGTCATCTGTCGAGGTTGGATGATAAGCAGATGAGATTTTTATTCCATCGATTGGGGTTTGCTCCTTATCCAGTCGTGGCCGTGATGCGTTTTCGACTGTAGATTCTGTGAGAGAAACGGTCTGCTGTACCCAAGCACAGTCTCACTACACGTGAGTTCACTCTCATCAGTGGGGCGCCTCTGTCTGCAAACTCTGTTGTACTTGGGTTTGACCCATCGCAACACTCCAGATCCTGAGAAATGCGTGGACCTGGACTCAAAAGAGGAGACCGATTCGGGCGAGGTGGTCATTATAGACAATTTAACTCTCATCAATCTCTTCTTACGACTCACTGGACCCGTCTCTGAGGCTCGGACAGCAGCCTCTCTTCTCGTTCTTCAGGTGAGTAATTCAAAAACCACTTTGAATAGCTTTTCAATGTTTGGTAGGGCCAAAATTCGGTCCCATTACCCAACTTTCCAGACATCCAACATTGAGATAGCAGCTGCTAGTGATTCATGTAGGTTTTTTACTCAATTCTGGTGAGCCCAATCGCAGTCATAGAATAGTCAGGTGAAAGGTGTTTTTTTGTGTGGACTGTCTCCTCTACGAGCATTTTGCTTGTAAGGCCACTGCTGATACTAAATCTTGGTGAGACGCCGTATACTGCATTGAGTAGCATGATCATCGATAAACAGTACGCGTTTGCCAACTTGGACGTAACTGGATTCCATTGAACCTAGGAAACTATTTCGTTTTTGTTACCATACTTACTGCACCAAAGAAGTACTCTGTAACTCGTACGGTCATCAGTGCCACTACTGCACCATTTGTACTTCGAAGAAGCATTGTGGTATTGCTGAACGACTGGGACTGATTAAGCCATCAACCATGACTCACTGCTGATCGTTGTTGTTGCTGCTCTACCTTCAACACCATTGCATAGGTGTGAAATTTTGAAGTTCGTGTACTGAGAGGAAGAGGAGGTAAATGCAGTTCTTCTGCCGCCTATTTTAGGTACTCTGCTCCTGCTTGGCCTTCGTAGTTCGCTACCCCATGGCGTGGAGTCTGTATGGTCAGTCAAATTAATTGCTCCATCAAAGAACCTGTCTCACTACCCCCAGTTCTCGATCAAATCAATTAAAATGTGAGGAACTTTCATTGAAACACAAACGTTACTTACTCTTCTCAACGCATGTAAAATGATGTAAGTTACCGATAGTAATAGAGAAGCATTTCCGCCTGCAGTTTGTATATTTATTTTACTACTCCAATGGGAGATATTTACATCGCGGAATTGGAATACTTTTCCAGTCGCGAATTGTCTGTCCTCATTGTATTACTTCATACTTCGGTGAAGTCCCATACCAAGCTCGAAGCCCAAGGCACAGTTCCACCACTTGCCACTGCGTAACGCCAATTACCAGAATAGCGACCCAAATCACAGTCATTCTTCACCGTCGAGGGAAGTACTTGGGAGGTTTAGTGCCGGGTGACATATAAACTAAAAAAACTCCTATCCTCCCCTGGGTTAAGGACCCGATAAGACTATAACCTGCCTCCTCCCGCCAACACCCACCAAAACTAATGAGCTGAACATCAACTTGCATGTGCGTGAATATATGCATCGATATTATTTCAATTGCCTTGACTCCGGGAAAGGCAGAGTGGCTACGCAGGCCGTAGGAACCATTGGTTATTGTGACAGAGTAATACACTTGTTATCAAAAGGAATAGCTTGTCGACAAAAAATAGAACTTGTCATACAATCCCAGCGTAATTTTGGCAACACAATGCTCAACTCTAGGCCTTGGGTCCTTCCTCTGCGGTCCTTACGAAGAGTCTTCTCAAAGAAGCTCTGATGGGCACAGTAGGGGTTGCCAGGCCAGACAAAGGAGAGGAAGAAAAGGAGGAAGAGCAAAAGTTGAAGGTTTTATACAGCTCTACCAAAAGTAGGTCCAAAAAATTTGGTCTTCTATATCTATTGAACGATTTAGGTATGCTGGGCAATTGAAAAGCATCACAAAGTACAGTCAGTTAAGTGAAAATAAAAGGTACAACTAACTTGATACAAGTTGGCAGCAAAAATTGTCATAATTTGGTCACTGCCCTCCTCCTTGACTCGTCCATTCACAATAAGACATAGGGATTCGGAACTTGGTAAACCATTCACCCAAACCACTCATACCACTGACGAAGGAGAACTTCGCGTTCAGCGCTCTTAACCGACGCCTTTATACTCAGCGAATAAGGACGTTGCCACTAGATAACGATAATCTGCCTCCGTAGAAGTCAGCCTCCGTCCTTAATGAGCAAAGGAATGAAAGCGTAGTTCATTTAAGACTTTTAACTCCATTCGATCTCATAAATCAAAATCCAGCGTCAGTTAAATTACGCTGTCATATAAATTTCACTTAGCCACCTGGAATATTGTGCAATAACAACCCGAACGTGATTGGGCGCACTATCACCTACATTTTTCCTGGATCTTTATTTCGCCAAGCCTGTGTGAAGATAACGAATAAGCAAAGTATATGCAAGCAAAAGGGCATCACTTTTGCAGACTCTTACCAAACAAGTAGATACAAACTAGAATTTGTCAATAAAATCACTCAAAATTGCGCTGTTGAAGTGCTAAAATTTTCAAAACTGCATTTGTTACCTTCCGAGACTTCCCACTGGATAGAAGGCTGCATGGTGGACAGAAGAGGAGGGATAGGACTTTGGCGTGACTCAAACGTAGGATCAACAATTCAAGGGCCGGACAAAAGCCAAAGTGGCCATTAAACATCAGGTGGTCACATAGACGGAGTATTGCAGCATTTCCTTTTCAAAATAGTTTAAAGTTAATGGCTTTGCGTAATTGTGGAAAAATGCCTTAGAACTCTTAAGGATATAGAGCTACTAGAAACGGGTGCTGTGCTCTCCGAACACTTTCCACCTGATTTCACGGAATAAGGTTGCTCTGTGAAGATTTATTAGGCGTTACCGATAGAACATATGCCGAACGGAGCTCCCTTCTTTAAAGGGTAGACGTCTTTCCTTTTGCGTCTAAATAGCGTTTCCTGAACGGATTGTTCACAGTCGACAAAGCAACTACTAGATGCAACTGTGTGTTCCGATGAAGGCTCGAATAGCGGTCATTGTTATCTGAATATTTGTCAGTGACCTCAAAGCTTACAGTCTCTGCTCAGAGATGGCTAAAGATGAGAATGAGAATCGAAATTTCCTCCAGTGCTTAGTAGTAAGTAGCAAGTTGTAGGGAACGCGACATCGACGCCCTCACACGTAATTAGGTATCCGCTGCGTTCGTCAGATGATTAAGACCATACTCGTCACCCTCTGCAGCAGTGTAGCTCGGGAAGTCAATGGAGTCATTGGTTAGTCCGATACCCTCTTTCACGCTCTTATGGATTAAACGGCACCAATTGAATGCGTCTTTGATGAGTGGTTTACGAAAAAGGAAGAACTATGATGAAGAAATGTGTGCCTATGTGATCGTTACTGTAGCGCATTACCGATAACAAGATTGTAAAAGCATGCTCGGAGCTGCTGATTGCATGTGCGTGACTGCCTTCTTTTATTAAATCGTTGAGTGTTTGGACGTTGGCTACGCTGGATCCATCCACAAACAACTGCGTTTAGCTACTTCCTCTAGTAATCCTATCGCGGATCTGTTTATCCTTCCATTTCAGGATGGCAACTGACATTACCCAGTAACCCAGTTGTATAACTAGGGGGCTGACACAACTCGCACTGCCAACAGTGTCACATTCTTATATTCACTCAACCCTCTAATGCCATAGAGTGAAGTTAATACATTCAGCTTACCCTTATGGCTTTTCTTTATGCTGGGCAATCAACAGCTAAACTAGGACTGAGTCAGGAAATTCGAGCGATCTGGAAACATTGCTTATTTGATAAAGAAAGTGGATATACAGTGCTCTGGGTGTAAAGTCATGATTCTGCAGGGCATAGATGGAAGGACAGTATACGCTGTGCTGACCCGTAATTCACCAACTAAATGTTTTACAATGTGTCGATAGGAGATATCTTATTCGGAAAGGGGAATACTGCACCAAGACTTGCATGTAAGGCTCAGGTGGAATGATAAAATGCCACATAAATTGAAGGTCTTCAGCTAATTATAGGAAATTGGGCTTATCTTCTAATGTCCACTCAGTCTACGTGCTAGAGATTGGGAAAACTCTTATTATAATCTGCAGAGGTGGCACACATTTTGCTCCACTGAACTGCATCGATAAAGTGTGCGCACCAACAACATGCGCGCCATCGAATGCATTGTTTACAATTGATGTGGAACGCATTACTTACAATTCTTAAGGCGTCATTTCTTCAGCTAATTCTACTTTAATCCACTGATGCATAGATTGTGTTTTCGTAGGCAAGTAAAGTAGGATGATTCTTTGTAACTCCTCGTTAGATTAGACGGCATTCGAGGCAACAACTATGTTTGTAACTCAGTGGCAGAACTCTCAAACATTTAATGACTAATATAATTCTGAATGGCTTATGGTGGAATAAGTCACCTTTTTGCAAACGACAACAGAAATCTCGTTGCGAGGTGTGGTACAATGAAATCTGAGACGACTAACATTTTCAAGTAGTTGCTGTTTTGCCGATCCAATTACGGAACTAGGTCCTCTGCAGGTGATGCGATAGGTAGCTGCGATGGTCGTGACGTGGAAACAAAAATGCTGCAGTCCGCTCGAGAAGAAGAGAAGGAGGTATTTTCACCTACCTACCAACAGTAATGAAAAGATAGATACTAGAACTCCTCCCCTTGGAGGAAGTAGAGTACAGCAGTGGGACGAAAATGATAAAAAGAAAGGAAAGTGGTGATTTGGTCAATAGGACTGAGATCGAAAATCCTCATGGTTGGCAGGTTAGTCAGCTGTCAACTGCTGCAAATTGGAGTAAAATGTGCGTGAGTGGATGGACGCAGGTAGTGCAGTGCTCAACATTGCATAAGGGTGCAAGCAGAGTCCAACACACGACCCATCCTTGCATTACTGACATCCGCCAATGTCACAGCTCTGGTTACGTGGCAAAGGATGTGCGAACACAGACAATAATCGTAAGAAAGAGGCAGTCAAGGCTGACTGCCAGGATCAGCATTGAAGAAAAGGAATTTGAGATAGTGTCAGGGCTATTACAATTGTTACGACTATTATTAGGCCTCTACAGCAGAGTAAAGGGTAGACAATAACGTGGACGGCGGTTCCATGCTGCCCCGAAAACAACTTAAGGGGATAATGCCACCAAACCTCCACCGAACGCCCACTACAATCAAACACTAATTCCCAGATTCGTTCACTCATTATACGTAAGGAAGAGGGTTGGAATTGACGATTATTACTTTTAAGAAGAAAAGAAGAGGAAGGTTTTGATGGCGAAAGAAGCATTTGGATGGACGACAGCGTCTACCCTCACCAGAGTAGAAAATGGAAGTAACAAAATTGAGCACCTGTTTGAACTTGATTACCTCGATATCAGGCAATTTCGTTGACTTCTTCTCCAAAATTCTCCACTTATTCCACATAAACATCTCTTTGAACTGCCTTGTAACCGATTCTACTAGTGGTTTAGCAACTCGCATGTCAAGGGCATTAGTGGTTTGAAGGGGAAAAAGGCAGCACCTTCTTCTCGATGCCGCTGAAGGATGAGCGAATGAAAGAGCCAGCGTTTATGGGCAGTGTCCTGTTCACCACATTCCTCAACCACCTTGTGGAGCTGACTATGGATTGCCCAAGCCTCTCACTGGTGCTTGTGCACATGGTATGCGTTTCCAGCCCAGCTTACCAATTGTTTTTTGTCTGACGTTGTCGGCATGAGTGTTGTGATCGCGGTCATTTACATAGTAGGATAAGATGTGGGAGAATCAGTTTCATCTCCTGCCCTCTCTTCTTTCTTTCATGAGTTATTATTTTGTGCTTCTGTGATTGGTTGTAGTTTTTAAAAGCTAATGAAGTGTAGTTTTAGCCTATAAGCAATGCCTTACGTAATTTGTTTGCTTGTGTAGGCTGACGTTGTATTGTAGAGGGCTGATTGCGTTGCTGAGTTAGTTC